CATGTGGGGCCTTGCTGTGTTTTGGGAACCCTAAACCCTAAACTCTAAGCCCTAAAAAATGGAAACCCATCACCTTCGCCTATAGGGTTCGCCCGTACATTCCGGGCATCCGGGCAGGCCTACAAATAGACCATGCCTTTGGGTGTTAGGGTTTCGAAGTTTGCGGGTTGAGGGTTGAGGGTTTAGGGTTCAGGGTTCAGGGTTTAGGTTTTAGGGTTGTTTTGGGTTGTTTAGGTTTTTAGGTTTTTGGGCTGCCCTCTGGGTTTTCGGGTTTAGACCTCAGGGCTTCAGGGTTTAGGGTTTAGGGCTGGCCTATTGGGGCTCTTGGGGACACATGGGCCCGCAAGATAACTGGCACCTCAGCAGGGTGGCAATCATTGCAACCACATTCCAACGGGTGTAGGGTTTCGGGTTTAGAGTTTAGGGTTTAGGGTTTTAGGGTTAGGGTGAGCCCTTACACAGTAAACAAGTTGAGGACTTAGTGTTTAGGATTTCGGGTTGAAATCGTGCCACACCAAGTCCACAACTTGAGCGTCCGCCCAAAGTTGCCGGTGACAGCACACTCGTCCTAGTCAGAAGGGGGCCACGGACTTTGGCAGGTTTAGGGTTGAGGGTTCAGGGTTACTTCCTGGCTGAGCTTCTTGGATAAGGCAAGGCTGGCCTGTATTTCACGAAAGGAAAACCCTAAAACCCTAAGCCCCACGCCACAAAAAGATCAACTCAGCCCTTCAGTGCGGGGGGGGGGGGGGGGGGGGGACAGGAAGTGAGGTTTGCTGGTGCCTAGGGGTTTAGGCGTCTAGGAGTAACCCTAAACCCTAAACCTTCAACCTTCGGAGTTTGGAGGGGGCTTTAGGGCTTGACGTCTGCGAGGGGCTTTAGGCGTTTTAGGGTTTACGACTTGTGACTTGTGTACCGGGGGGAACATTCTAAACCCTAAACCCTAAACCCTAAACCCTAAAACCCTAAACCCGAAGGGACCATCCTGCACGAGGCTACTACAGCATTAAGGGCTCTTTGATTTGCTGCTTCTGAACCTTTCGGGTTACAGCGGCTGCGGGGGTTATAATGTAGGGGTTAGGGGATAGGGTTTAGGGTTTAGGGTTTAGGGCTTGCTCAACTTCCTGAATCCTACCCTCTCTGACCTTAACCCACCCAAACCCAAACCCCCAGCCGGAACTGTACCCCAAGACCTTTGAGGCACTGACCCCCTAAACCCTAAACCCTAAACCCTAAACCCTAAACCCTAAACCCTAAACCCTAAACCCTAAACCCTAAACCCTAAACCCTAAACCCTAAACCCTAAACCCTAAACCCTAAAACAAAACCTTACACCCTGAATCCTTAACCCGGACCTGTACGGAAACTCAAGACTCAGGGTGGGGACGGGTGGGGAGCATCAGGGATTCAGACGGTAACTACGAGCCCGCATCACCTGCCCCGGACGACTCGACGTTTTGGGGCCCAAGAGGGAACAGGGGTTTAGGGTTTAGGGTTTAGGGTTTAGGGTTTAGGGTTTAGGGTTTAGGGTTTAGGGTTTAGGGTCTCTGCTCGGTCTTGAGACTTAGGCTACCCAAAGAGAAGGGTGGATGGATCTAAATCATGGGTCATGCTGGGCACCCTGAACTACAAGATGCCCTAAACCCTAAACCCTAAACCCTAAACCCTAAACCCTAAACCCTAAACCCTAAACCCTAAACCCTAAACCCTGTCAACCCTAAACCCTCGACCCTAAACTCACCAGAAGGGCCAAGATTCAGGGGGAGTCCCGAAAACCATAGCTTTTTCTGCTCGGCACACGGTTCTTAAAGGCCCAAGATGCCATAAACACCCTAAAGCCTACAGCCTAAACCCTAATTTATAGCCCTAAACCCTAAACCCTAAACCCTAAACCCTAAACCCTAAACCCTAAACCCTAAACCCTAAACCCTAAACCCTAAACCTAAACCCTAAACCTAAACCCTAAACCCGCCAGACAAGGTTGGAACATGTTCTGGCTTCTCCATACCGACAGATGAGATTGCTAGGATCCCTTCAAGAATCGAAACCATGGCTCTGGTATCATGGCCGATGCAAGAAAAGCCTCTATGATCCAGATTTGCTGGGAAATCTCGGCCCTCCTTCCCCCCCCCCCCCCCCCCCCCCCCCCCCCCCCCCCCTCCCGGCCCGGCCCGTCCACCAACCACCCCAACCACAAAGCAACCCGGAACCCTAATTCCCTAGAGCCTCACCTCAAAGTCGTCACGGCCCGCAAACGCCCCACGGGATCATTGGCTTACACCGTTCCGGTCGCGTCCTCCTGTCCTGCCTCCAATCTGGCCACCTGTCAGCAATGGCGGAGAGTCTGGGTTTGGGGTTGGCTTTCAAGAAATGCAGACCTTTGAGGGTTTGAGGATTTAGGAAATCTCGATCCCTGGTGAAACTGTAGGAGCCAGTTGTGCAGGCCATTGGGCACTGCTACTTCCTCAGGAAGACCCCGGTTGCTGGCCTTTCCTGCTGGATACTCTTAGAAAATCCCGCAAGGGCGCTCCGACCCGATCAGAAAGTTGGACCCGAAACCACGCTGCACGGCCAATCTTGAGACTGGGTCATGCAGGACTGGCTACATTATAAGGAATCCGAAGCATGAAAAGCACAGATTGTATTGACAGACTCTCGCAGAAAGACGAGAGTCTCCACTGAATCTGCAAACGCTTGAAAACTTGACACGGTCAGAAACATGCTCAGGGAGATCACAACACTGTCAAGACATGCTCTGCAATACCATATGGGGGGGGGGGGCTTAACTTAAGATCATAAGGGGCCCACAATATCTAGACCCAAATAGTAGGATCCCCTTAGCATACCCCCACGTATCCCCAAGATCGTAAACTTCCATACGTGGGGGAGCCGGGTTCAGTTGACAAGGGCTCCTGACTTGATTCAGGCCAAAAACCTTAAGTCACTAGTGCGCTCTCCACCCTAGGTTCTTCTCTCGGCAGACGTATGCACGTGCACCCTAAACCCCTAAAACCTCGAGACTACTGGGGCATCAGCTCCAAGACTTCCCGCTACCTCACCAGTGAGCACAAAACCACACACCTGCGCCAGCAGACGCTCGACTCGACCTCTTCCGGAACTGACGGTTTCTTGCGACCTGAAGCAGAGAGGTCACTTCAAAAACGCGGGACAAGGGATGGGAGAACTCTGGGCGTGTAGTAGGGCACGGGGTACCACGTCGATGGGGCAGGTGCCTCCCCTGATGAGTCCCATGGAGTTCCCATGCCGGGCGGTGTAGGAGGTGAGGCTGTCCAGACTCACAATGCTGACGTCTTCAGCTCTCTTCTCTGGCTCTTGCGCGGGGCCCCTCGGATCGCGGAAGGAGCCGCGCCTCTCTCTGCACCTGGTGTGCCTGCTTCCAGGAGAGGATGGCGTTGGCGAGGTTCCACATCGTTCCAGCATGCCCAGAATCGATATCGATGCAGCAGTTTCACATGCGCCTGGTTCTTTGCCTGTGCAGCAAGACGGCAGGGGTCCACTGTGCCTCTCCGGCGAGGCACACTTTGCAAGCAACGCCATGCCATCAGCCGAAGCGCGTCGTATCTTTTGGCCGCCCAGTTTCTTGCCAGCCCCGAATACGGCAGACAGCCAGACGCAGCCAGCCAGCTCGATGCAAGTTGCAACCGATCATGGTGCTCAGACTCAGAGGTGGTTGCACACGGCTTGGAATCCAAGGCCGAAATGCACTAAACCAAACTACCGACTGATATCAATGTCTCTGATTTTCTGCCTTGACCCTTTGATCCTGCCTAAGATCGTACATAATCAGTTGGGCCTCAAGTATCAAGGGTCACTGGCATGCCTTGGCTACAGCCCCCTTTCGTGCAGCAGAGCAATCCGCCGGCCACCGGCCCCCTACGCCGAGACTGACCGGATGAGTGATGCAGGCCCATGTAGGCGGATTCTAAAGGAACCCCGAAGCCCAAAACCCTGAACCCCCCAAACCATAAGCACAATACACCATGCCTTGGGTAGGGAAGAACTTTGGACCCAAAATGGTAAGGAATATTTGGGAGTACTGTACGGGGGGGGGGGGGGGGAGGGTTATGACCATGAGACTCTACGAAGGGTCGCTGAGCCCCAACGCCCTGGCCCTAAACCCTAAACCCTAAACCCTAAACCCTAAACCCTAAACCCTAAACCCTAAACCCGAACACGAAACCCTAAACCCTAAACCTAAATATCCCCAGACTCCAAAATCCTTCAACCCAAGCCTCGGATCACACTCCTCAACCCACTGCCATGTTTTCTACTCCCCCACTTCAAAAAAGGAAGCAGTCTCCTTGGCAGTTGATGGCAGCAATGCTTTGGGAAACTAGGTTAGGCTTATGGCTTAGCACAAGGCTCAGGGTCTAGGGCTTACAGCAAGAACGTTTGGCGCAGAAAAGGCTCTCTCGGGTTTTCACCCAGCCCCCGCCTGAACCCTACGGCCTTTGCTTTCAGAATTCAGGGTTCAAGGTTTAGGGTTTAGGGTTCAAGGTTTAGGATTTACGGATGGATTTGGGGATTGATGACAAAGAGGGTCTTCCATCGTTGTATCTCCCTTAGAGTTTAGGGCAGCCTCCTCATTTGAGGTCCGTTTGGCGTGGCTTAGGGCCTTTCTGTGCACAGCACCAGGCCAAGGCTTCGGAGGGTTGAGGGCTTAGGGTCCTATAAGGCTCTGTAGGCAGCTAGGATGGCCCTCAAAGCCCACTGAAACATGTTCCCTGAACATGATCCTCTTAACCCCAAATAAGGGAAAACACACCATTTCCCAAGGGCCTACCGAGCCTACCTAGGGGGCTTAAGCAGGCTTAAGGGTCTTGGGGTTTAGGGTTTCGGGTTTAGGGCTTAGGGCTTAGGGCTCAGGGCTTGTAGGCGGCCAGTGCGAAGATGCAGTCAGGACCTGGAGTTCAGAACTCCCTGTCGACTTTTTCTGGGCCACACGCCGGGCGCGTATTCTGGAGATGATGGAAGCAACGGACCTGCCGGGGAGCCCTAAACCCAAAACCCTAAACCCCAAACTTATGAACCCTAAACCCTAAACCCTAAACCCTAAACCCTAAACCCTAAACCCTAAACCCTAACCCTTCGCCGTATCAAAAGTGCAAGGCTTCGGAGTTGGGCTGCGCTTACACCAGGGATCCCACTCTACCCTGTTGAACCCTAAACCCTAAACCCTAAACCCTAAACCCTAAACCCTAAACCCTAAACCCTAAACCCTAAACCCTAAACCCTGAACCCTAAACCCTAAACCCTAAACCCAAAAAACCCTAAACCCTGGACCAGGCCCTGATTCCTAGAAAGCATGAGCTGAAACTTAGCATTTAGGGTCCAGGGGCTCAGTGGTTCCCAGGGCCGAAGTTGTGCCCAAGCCCCTGTTCGGGATTTAGGGTTTGGGGTTTAGGGTTCGGGTTTAGGGTTTAGGGTTTAGGGTTTAGGGTTTAGGGTTTAGGGTTTAGGGTTTAGGGTTTAGGGTTTAGGGTTTAGGGTTCAGCAGCTCTGGGTCGAGCAATCTCTAGTAGAGCCGCTGTCTGGACTCTAGAAAAAAACCCACCACCCAGAGAATCCCAAAACATTAAGAAATATAAAGTTCTCATTTTCCTCAGCAAGCCCTGTCTTCCAACCTCATTTATTCATTCTGCTCGTGTTCTTTGTCATTCTGCTTGGTTTCCATTCTGCTCGTATGCGTTTCTTTCTGCTCGTATTCATTCTGCTCGAATTCGTTCTTTTTCTGATCTGCTCGTCTCGTGTTCGTTCTCGTTCTGCTCGTATTCATTCTGCTCGTATTCGTTCTCTCTCTGCTCGATTTCAGTCCGCTCGTTTTCGTTGTTTTTCTTCTCGTATTCATTCTGTTCGTATTCGCTCTCTCTCTCTGCTCGATTTCAGTCTGCTCGTCTTCGTTCTCTCTCTGCTCGTAATCATTCTGCTCGTATTCGTTCTCTTTCTGCTCATATTCATTTTGCTCGTGTTCGTTCTCTTTCTGCTCGTGTTCGTGCTCTTTCTGCGCGTGTTCGTTCTCTCTCTCTGCTCGATTTCAGTCCGCTCGTTTTCGCTGTCTTTCTGCTCGTACTGAGTCTGCTCGTACTCGTTCTCTTTCTGCTCGTATTCATTCTGCTCGTATTCGTTCTCTCTCTGCTCGACGTCAGTCTACTCGTATTCGTTCTCTTTCTGCTCATATTCACTTTGCTCGTGTTCGTTTTCCCCGGTGACCCTGCCTATTTTTGGCCGTCTTGTTGGTTGTGTTTGGCACACTTTAAGCTGCCTGGCTTCCACATGGTTTCTTTCCAATTAGTGCCCCGGTGACCTCGCCTCATGTTGGCTCCTGCTCGTAGGGTTTGATGAGAGGCTTAGAGGTTTGTCGTATGTCCCCTCTCTTCGTGCTCGTAAGGTTTGTCCCTCCCTTCATGCTCGTAGGGTTTGATGAGAGGTCTACAGGTTTGTCGCACGTCCCCTCCCTTCGTGCTGTTAGAGTTTGTCGTATGTCGCCTCCCTTCGTGCTCGTCGGCTTTGTCGTGTGTCCCTCTTCGTCTGCTTGCAAAGAATCCCAAGAATTCAGAAACTGAGATTTTATTTGCAGAGGTTTGTCGTATGTCCCCTCCCTTCGTGCTCGTAGGGTTTGTCAGAGAATCTGATCTGTTCGTTCTCGTTCCTGCTCGTATTCATTCTGCTCGTATTCGTTCTCTCTCTGCTCGATTTCAGTCCGCTCGTTTTCGTTGTTTTTCTTCTCGTATTCATTCTGTTCGTATTCGTCTCTCTCTCTCTGCTCGATTTCAGTCTGCTCGTCTTCGTTCTCTCTCTGCTCGTAATCATTCTGCTCGTATTCGTTCTCTTTCTGCTCATATTCATTTTGCTCGTGTTCGTTCTCTTTCTGCTCGTATTCGTGCTTTTTCTGCACGCTCTCTGCTCGATTTCAGTCCGCTCGTTTTCGCTGTCTTTCTGCTCGTACTGAGTCTGCTCGTACTCATTCTCTTTCTGCTCGTATTCATTCTGCTCGTATTCGTTCTCTCTCTGCTCGACGTCAGTCTGCTCGTATTCGTTCTCTTTCTGCTCATATTCACTTTGCTCGTGTTCGTTTTCCCCGGTGACCCTGCCTATTTTTGGCCGTCTTGTTGGTTGTGTTTGGCACACTTTAAGCTGCCTGGCTTCCACATGGTTGCTTTCCAAGTTAGTGCCCCGGTGACCTCGCCTCATGTTGGCTCCTGCTCGTAGGGTTTGATGAGAGGCCTAGAGGTTTGTCGTATGTCCCCTCTCTTCGTGCTCGTAGGGTTTGTCGTATGTCCCTCCCTTCATGCTCGTAGGGTTTGATGAGAGGTCTACAGGTTTGTCGTACGTCCCCTCCCTTCGTGCTCTTAGATTTTGTCGTATGTCGCCTCCCTTCGTGCTCGTCGGCTTTGTCGTATGTCCCTCTTTGTCTGCTTGCAGAGAATCCCAAGAATTAAGAAACTGAGGTTTTATTTTCAGAGGTTTGTCGTATGTCCCCTCCCTTCGTGCTCGTCGGCTTTGTCGTATGTCCCTTTTCTTCTGCTTGCAGAGAATCCCAAAACATTGAGAAATGTGCGGGTTTATTTTAGAGGTTTGTCGTATGTCCCCTCCCTTCGTGCAGTTGCTTTTCCCCACCCCACCCTCGGACCACCCAAGATGAGAAACACTGAGAAGGGGCTGCTGCGTTGCCCGGCCCCGCAAAGCCTTCATCTTGATCTGGCCCAGACCCAGGTTTTCAAGCCCAGAATGGGGGTCATGTTGGCTCCTGCTCGTAGGGTTTGATGAGAGGCCTAGAGGTTTGTCGTATGTCCCCTCTCTTCGTGCTCGTAGGGTTTGTCGTATGTCCCTCCCTTCATGCTCGTAGGGTTTGATGAGAGGTCTACAGGTTTGTCGTACGTCCCCTCCCTTCGTGCTCTTAGATTTTGTCATATGTCGCCTCCCTTCGTGCTCGTCGGCTTTGTCGTATGTCCCTCTTTGTCTGCTTGCAGAGAATCCCAAGAATTAAGAAACTGAGGTTTTATTTTCAGAGGTTTGTCGTATGTCCCCTCCCTTCGTGCTCGTCGGCTTTGTCGTATGTCCCTTTTCTTCTGCTTGCAGAGAATCCCAAAACATTGAGAAATGTACGGGTTTATTTTAGAGGTTTGTCGTATGTCCCCTCCCTTCGTGCTCGTAGGGTTTGTCGAGAGGTCTACAGGTTTGTCGTACGCCCTCTTCCTTCGTGCTCTTAGGGTTTGTCGTATGCCTCCCTTCGTGCTCGTAGGGTTTGTCGTATGTCCCCTCCCTTCGTGCTCGTATGGTTTGATGAAAGGTCTACAGATTCGTCGCATGTCCCTTCCCTTCGCGCTCTTAGGGTTTGTCGTATGTCCCCTCCCTTCGTGCTCGTCGGCTTTGTCGCATGTCCCTTGTCTTCGCGCTTGCTTTCCCCAGACCGAAGGTAGAACCAAAAGTGTTGGTCCGGATTGACAAAAAAACTAATTTGTTAACCTCTGTTTTGTTTTCCCCCACCCCACCCTCGAACCATTCCAGTTCGAGCCAATCCCCAACCCACCCTAGAACCAACTACCCGTATTCGTTCTTTGTTGTCGGGGTGGGGGCGGGGTGCTGCTTGCTTACTTACTGGGTTTGTTCGTGCTTGGGGCGCTGATTGCTTACATTCTGGATTTTTGCTTTGCTTGATGGGGCGCTGATCTAAAGTTCCCCGGTGACCGTGCTGGCCGTCTCGCTGGTTGTTTTGGCTGCCTGGCTTCCGCATGGTTGCTTTGGAATTAGTGCCCCAGTGACCGCCTGTGTCTGAAAGTTCCCCGGTGACCGTGGCTCTTTTTGGCTCTCACCCCGCAAAGCCCTCATCTGGCCCAGACCCAGGTTTTCAAGCCCAGAATGGGGGTCTGGGCCAGAAGAGGCGCTTCAGAGGGGTTGAGGGGGGGGGGGAACGTGGCCATTGTGTGATTCGTGGTTTTAGGGAGGGGGGTGGGGGGGGGGGGGGTGGGGGCGGGGGGGGGGGGTGGGGGGGGTGGGGGGGGGTGGGGGGGGGGGGGGGGGGGGGGGGTGGGGGGGTGGGGGGTGGGGGGGTGGGGGGGGGGGTGGGGGTGGGGGGGGGTGGGGGGGGTGGGGGGGTTGGGGGGGTGGGGTGAGGGGGGTGGGGGGGGTGGGGGGGGGGGGGGGGGGGGGTGGTGGGGGGAGGGTGGGGGGGAGGGGGGTGGGGGTGGGCGGGGGGGTGGGGGGGGGTGGGGGGCGGTGGGGGGTGGGGGGGGTGGGGGGGGTGGGGGGGGTGGGGTGGGAAAAAGCCGTGGCCATTGGCAAAAAAGCCGTGGCCATTGGCAAAAAAAGCCGTGGCCATTGGCAAAAAAGCCGTGGCCATTGGCAAAAAATTGGCCGTGGCCATTGGCAACTTTCCCGTGGCCATTGGCAAATGCCACTTGCCAATGGCCACGGCTTTTTTGCCAATGGCCACGTTCCCCATTAAGGTTGGGGCCCAACCTTAATGGGGAACGTGGCCATTGGCAAAAAAGCCGTGGCCATTGGCAAAAAGCCCGAAAAGTTGCCAATGGCCACGGCTTTTTTGCCAATGGCCACGTTCCCCATTAAGGTTGGGGGGCATTTTGTGCGAATTGGGTTTGAAAAACCCATTTTGGCGACCAACCTTAATGACATTGGTGGCCATTGGCAAAAAAGCCGTGGCCATTGGCAACTTTCCCGTGGCCATTGGCGAATTTGCCAATGGCCACGGCTTTTTTGCCAATGGCCACGGCTTTTTTGCCAATGGCCACGGTTTTTTTGCCAATGGCCACGGTTTTTTTGCCAATGGCCACGTTCCCCATTAAGGTTTAAATTATTATATGATAGAGAGAGTTTAGGGTTTAGGGTTTAGGGTTTAGGGTTTAGGGTTTAGGGTTTAGGGTTTAGGGTTTAGGGTTTAGGGTTTAGGGTTTAGGGTTTAGGGTTTAGGGTTTAGGGTTTAGGGTTTAGGGTTTAGGGTTTAGGGTTTAGGGTTTAGGGTTCG